GGCCCTGCTTGTGTCGTGGCCCAGGGGTCCCTCCTGGATAAATTCCCTTCCGCAGCCTCCTTTCCCCAGGGAAAGCCACCCGAAAGGAGCAGGATGCAGAGGGAGCAGGTGTTGGAGACAGGGAATTGCTCCGCACGCGGGTGCCTGTCCCACTGCTCCCGTTTGGAGAGGCTGGTCCCTGCGTGGTGCCCAAGGAGCTGCAGACTCCGTCCTGCGCGTCCCAGCCCGGACCCGGGGCCTCCCCCTCGCACCCCGTCCCCAGCAGGGAAACACCACGGCCCGGCACATCCCAGATCTGCAGCAGAGCCAGCGTGGAGGGTCCTGTGGAAACACAGGGGCTTCTGGGGACCAAATTCCTGGTTTCTTTGCCTTTTAACTCAAATCCCGGTAGGTGCCAAGCAGGGTAGGCCTAGCGCATCCATCCCTGCGTCACCCACTCCTGAGCACGCTGCGAGTGGCCGTGGTCACCTCTGGATCGCGAGGAACCGCTGGATCACCGGGACCCGCGAGGACGTAAAGGGGAGGGACTGCACGGGCTGGTTTGTCCCTTCTTGGGGATCATTGGGAAACGGTCCCAGCGCGGCGGGACGCAGGCCCGCCCGGCGCCCCCGCCGGCCGGGGCCGCGCGGTCTGTGGCTCCCTCTGCCGTGCCCGGCTCTTGCTCCATAGCCGGGAGCTCCTGGGATCAGCAGGGGATCTGCTGTCCCTCCCGACACGTGTGTGTGTCTGCACGCACACGCACACACACACACATATATATATATACATTTATCTATGTAAAAGCAAAGGCAGCAAACGGTGGGAAATCCCTCGGCACAGGCTGGGCGGCCGGCAGAGCCTGAGCTCCCTGGCTCATCCCGAGGGCAGGGACTTTCACCTCTCACCCATCTCTTTATTTAACCCTTTCCCATTAGCCCGTCTAGCTCCCATTTTCCACTCTGGGATATTCCCTACCCCCCCCCCCCCCTCCCCCGGCGCACTTTTTATCCGCTCCAAAGCCAGTGGGAAAAGCCAGGGCAAGGCGGCCGGTGGCCTTGGTGGATG